GCCACAACTTCTCTTCCTCATTATCCGACACACCTGGCTCCTGGCCAATCTCAGAAACACCTGGCTCCTGGCCAATCTCAGAACCACCTGGCTCCTGGTCAATCTCTTCTCCGTCGGGAGACACCTGAGGCATTGCCAAAGAGGAGGGTCCTGGAGAGGGAGGCCTGGCCATCTCCTCTCCTTCATGTTCGGAGCCTTCCTCCTCCGATAAGAGGGGCTCACAAGACGGAGCCACAACACCCTGCAGCCCAAAAGGTAGAACCCGGAATTGGTAACACCCCAAGGGACAATTGAAGGCGGTTTTCCACTTGTCCCCTTCCTTAATTCTGATTCGGTAGTAAGCTTCCCTTAAGTCCAGTTTGGTGAAAATCTTCCCCTTTGAAAGATGGGATAACATGTCCTTCATGAGGGGGAGAGGGTATAGATTGCTTTCGCTTATGGCATTCAAAGCCCTATAATCCACGCACAGGCGAAGAGTTCCATCTTTCTTTTCTTGGAATAATACAGGGGCAGCCATTTTTAGCTTTGCCAGCTGAATGAAACCCTTTTCTAAATTTTTGTCTATGAATTTCTGCATTTCTTCCAATTCTTGCGGGCTCATGGAGTACAATCTAGGTTTGGAAAGTTTCGCGCCTGGTCTGATTTCTATCGCATAGTCTGTGGGCCGATGAGGCGGCAATTCATCAGAACTTTCCTCACTGAATACTTCAGCCAGGTCTCTATACTACTCTGGTATTTCGGGTAGTTCCTTTTCTTCCCCTATTGCAGCTTTCTCGGCCGGGACTCCCCTTGGTGGGGGCTGGGCTGGTGCCTTGGTTGATTCCCCTTTTGGGAATCTAAGCTCTGCCACCCTCCAGTCCACCCGTGGGTTCCACTTGGCTAGCCACGCCATGCCCAGGATTATGGGACATTCCATGCCAGGGGTTACCACGAACGTTATAGTCTCTATGTAGTCCCCCAGGGTGAGTTGAAGTGGTAGCATTGCTAGGATGGCAGGCATCCCCCCTGCTATGGACCCATCTAATTGACCGAACAAGATCTGTTTTTTCAGCCTCCTCACTGGTATTCCTAGATTCCCCACTAACATTGGGCTTATAAGGCAGCGGGTACAACCAGAGTCAATTAATGCCCTGACTTCTACGGATTCGGGCATGTCCGGGGCTAACAATGTTACTGTCCTGGTGAGGGGTGCAATGGGTCCACTTACCAGGGGTTTGTCCTCGGAGTTGTCATCGGATGAGTGGGATGCTCCTCCAGTGTGGGCTGGAGTTCCCTTTCCTCGCGAAGCTGAGGCAGGGAACTCGACAGCTTCCGTGCCTTTTATGGCTGTCTCCTTTGGCTTCGCTGGTGGTTTTCCAGGCTTCGCAGCCGGGGTCCGGTCTGATTTTCCAGTTGGGGTGCAAGAGTGGCATTCGGCAGCGTGGTGCCCTTCTTTTCCGCACTTGAAACACCCGGTGGTTCTTTTGGAGGTCGATTGCTGCTTTGCTGGCTTGCGGGTTGGCTCCGATAGTGACTTCCCCCACGATCTCCCTCCTCTGTGTTGCCTCTTGGCCAGGTCGATCTTAGCTTCCTCGACTAGGACGTACCAGTCTTGCAGCCGATGAGGATCTCCCCGAGGGAGGCAGGCATTGTAGAGGTCATAGTTTAATCCATCTTTGAAGTGGTTGAGCAGGATGTCCTCTGACCAGTTCAGTTTGCTGGCCAGGGTTCGAAATTCTTGGGTGTATTCCACCAATGGCCGCCTGCCTTGCTTCACTGTCTTTATCCTCTCCTGGGCTTTTCAGTTAGCCAAAGGGTCTTCGAAACGGCACCTGAGGGAGACCATGAATTGATTGAAATTCAGTAACTCCGGGGTGTTGGAATTGTGGAGGTCTATGACCCAGTCTGCTATGATGCCATCCAGGGTGGATGGCACGATGCAAATTCTGGCTTGGTCGGTTGGGATGTCCCGGCTGTACTACTCCATATAGTTTAGCACCTGGGTTAAGAAGAATCCCAGGTGCCGTGGCTCCCCATGGAACTTCAAATCTAATGGACGGAACTTCTGGATGGATCGGTGCCGCTTTTTCCACTTGTGTCATCTCCCTTCTCTGTCTATCATTTCCACGCAATGGGGTGGCTGCAGCAATGGTGACCACAGTGGTTTCGATGGCTCTATTGGATGGGTCTGAAACCTCGGGTTCAGCTTTCTCCTCCTTCATGGAGTCAAGGGCTGTTTTCATCATGCCGATTGCCTGTTCCAGCAATCGGCTGGAGTGCCCCGGACAATCCTCCTCATCCTTGCTGAGACAGAGAGACCTTTCCATCTCCTCCTTCCAGCCTGGCTGATGGCTGCCTCGTCTGAGCGTCATCTTTCTGGCCTCCCAGTCATCCTTCCTTCCAATGCCCATAGACCACCTAGGCTTGTGGCAGTGTTCTGTCACCACCTCCTCTTCTGAAGAGCTTGAGGATCCGGAGGTGGAATATTTGCAAGGGTCTGCTCATCAGGAGGCTTCCACCCCCTGTAGCAGGGTCCTCTCTCTCTATTCCATTGTCTGACATGATTTGCCAAGTCCCCCAGTAAGGGCTTTCTTTCTGGGCTGACTATTACTACAGATCCTGTCTAATGTTGGGGCCCACTTCAAAACCTCATCCTAAGAAAGCAGAACTCATGGAAGCAGTTTCTTCCAAAAGGAACTTTTATTAGGAGAAGCTGATAGTAGGCATAATAGACAGGATCTGAGGATTTCCTGCTCAGATCAATAGGTTAAAAGTGTCCCAAGCAAACCCCACCACAGTAGTTCATCCGATCAGTTTGAATGGGCCAATCCCCAGGTCCATTGTGGGAAAGAGCTGATAACGCCAGGCTGTCTCAGGGTTGCAGCGATGTTTTGTCGGTCTTCGCACCTTCCCTTCCAAAAGCAGAGATAAACCAGTTGCCGAAGGCGCATTCCTTTCTCCTTCCCCCTTTCAAGCTGACATCAAGGGGGAAGATAGTTCAAAGAGTGTGTATGCAGAAATAGCAAAAGTGTTACAGTGTAGCGATAGAGGAAAACAAAGAAATAGCTTGCAGCATTTCCCCCCTCCCCTCCAGGAGCATGGCAGAACCCAGAAGTGTAGAAAGATTAGAGTTAGAATTAAAGTTAGAAAGAGCCCCCTTAGAATATGGGTTCTGACAGCTGGACTAGAAGACCTCCAAAGTTCCTTCCAGCTCTATTCTGATTGAACTCAGTATTCCAGGTGTGGTCTTACTAAGATAAAGTGGTACTAATACTTCACGTGATTTTGATTCTGTGCCTCTGTTTATACAGCCAAGGATTATATTAGCTTTTTTGGCTATTGCTGAACACTACTGGCTCATATTTAAGTGATTGTCCACTAGGACTCCAAGGTCCATCTCACAGTTTCTGTTTTTGAGCCAGGTTTCACCTAATCTGTACTTGTACCTTTGTTTTTTCCTGCCTAAATGTAAAACTTTTAGGATCCTGAGCTTATCTTGGGGGGTTTTGGCTACTGCTTCCAGCTTAGTGTCATTTGCAAATTTGATGAGTTCTCCTTCTATTCTCTTATCTAAATCATTTATGAAGATATTGAAGAGTACTGGGTTTAAGATGGAAACTTGTGGTTCCCCATTTACTTCCCTCCATATAGATGTAGTACCATTAAAGACTACTTGTTGAGTATGGTTTGTCAATCAGTTACAAATCTATCTGGTAGTGATGTTGTCTATCCCACATTTTTCTAGCTTACCAAGAGATAGGCTGTGGTCTATTTTGTCAAATGTAAAAGAAGAAGAATTGTCTTTGGAATCCTTGGCATGGTTATCTTAAAGAAAAATCTTCAAATGTGATCCCTTTTGATAACTATCAAGTAGTCCTGCTCTGGGCAGTTTCCATGTGACTTTTGTCTCATTTCAGGCCATGACACTACAGCAAGTGGCTTGTCCTGGATTCTATACAATCTCGCTCAAAACCCCAAGTATCAAGACCAATGCCGGGCAGAGATTCAGGATCTGCTGCAGGGGCGAGAAAGAAAAGAAATTGAATGGTAATGGACTGTGGACAGAAAGAAAGCAATCCAGAGGGTGGAACATCAAGGCAGATTCATATGTTACTTGAATGAGAAAGTGAACTAAGCCAGAGCTAGTGTCTTCCATAAGTGAAATTATAATGTTACATCACTAAGAACATCTTCATATGCTGACTGGGGAATTCTGGGAATAAGTCCACACAAGTTGCCAAGGTTGAGAAACCCTGGTCCAGAGGTTCATTAAATCAGGGCTTTTCAACCTTTTCACCCATTGTACCACTTTCAGGATATGGCAACATCCGAGTACCACCAGTCGCCTAGCAAGGTGTCAAAAACTTGATGACCAAAAAAAAAGTGAAAAAAGTGATAAAGTACAGGTAGTCCTCAACTTACAACAGTTCGCTTAGTGACTGTTTGAAGTTACAATGGCACTGAAAAAAGTGTCCCCCAAGGCACAGCCGAGCAAGACACCTGCTTGCCCGCCCGGCCGCGCTCTTCCTCCTGTCCGAGGTTTTCACTGTTGTGAGCATTTCTGTTGAGGATTGGCAGCAGGGGTGGGGTGGGGGGTGTTTGGTTTTTATTCCCCCCGTCTGCTGGGTGGTTGCAGCAGGTTTTGGTCACTTCACATGACCCTGGGACACTGTGACCATCATAAATATGACTCAGTTGCCAAGCATCTGAATGTAAACCACAAGACCCTGGAGAGGCTGCCACATTCCAGCTGATCGGCGCTTCTTCTGGGCTTAGCAGAAGTGCCAGGATCAGCGCCGAGCTCCAGCTGGAGCCTGGCGCTGATCCTGGTGCTTCCACTGAGCCCTGACAGCCCTGAAGAAGTGCTGATCCTGGCGCTTCCGCTGAGCCCTGACAGCCCTGCAGCTCCAGCCATCTCTCGCTCAGGCTTGTGCGGTGCTGCCACCGGTTCAGCTCATTTCCCTCCCCCGCTATTTTTCTAGGATGGTCGCATACCACCTGCCAGGTGCCAATGTACCACAGGTGGTACCCGTACCACTGGTTGAAAAGCCCTGCATTAAATGATTGTATTGTTGAGGATTATGCAAGTTGTTTGCTTAGAGTTAGAGAACCTATTGTTAAGGTGTCTTTGAAATTGTCTGCTTAGGGAATATTACATGTGTATGTTAAAATGCCAGTGCCTTTTTGGCCAAATTGAACTAGAAATAGGGAAGATCAGAAAGATGCTCAGGAAGGGTTTCATTTTCAAGAGCAGACTGAGGACTTTAGGCTGCCCAAATATAAACAGGACTCAACTGTAGCTGTCTCTAGATGGAAGCCATTTTGTAAGTCCATTAGTTGTCTGCACAGCAAAATGGCTGGCTTAGGTTCTGGAATATAAGTTTTTAAAATTCCCATCTGCCTTTGTTTATTATGTTTTTAAGTTTTGCAGAGTTACCCAACTATTTTGTAGGAGACATTTGCCTATTATAAGCTTTCTGAGTTTGAGTCTAGCTTTTCTTTGTGAGATTTTCTCTGTCCTTTCCCTTCATTAGGCCATGTTCTGAGGTAGGGTTCTCCTTTCCTCTGCTGGCTATTTATGGGGCACAATTCAGGCACAGATTTTGTCTTGGCAAGGTGGTCAATTTTATGTGATTGGCTCTCAGCAAATTTTGCAAAATACTCTTTTAGAGAATCTACTTTGTTTTTAGCTACAGTCAGCAAGTTGAATATTGAAAGAACGGTCAGTGCTGCCAGAATACTTTATCTGGTTACAAAATCAAGTGCAGTCTGGCAGCAATCAAGCTGTACATATACAGTGGGTCTGGTTTGAACACCCAAAGCTAAATCACCATCAGAACCAGTGCTTTTTTTCTAAAAAAAAAAAAAAAAAAAAGGTGCCGGAACTCACACACGTCATACAACCCGCCTTGCCTACCCTACAAGGTTCCATCCAAAAAAGGTGTCAGAACTCCATTCTGGGCATTCTATGAGAAAAAAGCCCTGATCAGAACATATTCCCTTTCTTTTCAAACAGTTCTGACAAGTTCCTGGCTTTCCACCTACAGGTTTGATACTTTTGGCTGTAGCTCATCAAAACGCTCTGCTTTTTCTGGGTTTGACCAGGCAAAATGTGTAGGCTAGTTCACAGGGAGTTTTGAGAGATGGCTAAAATGGTGGGTTTTGGCATCTACCAAAGCCAGCCTCTAGTCACAGCAATTTTATATAATTATTTCATATTTTCCATTATTCTTTATTCTTTACTGAGTAGCCACGATACAAATACTGTACTTTTTTCTTTCTAAAATCTGAAGAATGCCACTATTTGTAAGAAATCACTATACTGTTACAAAAATACACAATACCAAGGATGAAAGCCCTCCTGAATGGTTTTGGGTGAATATTAGAGGAAAGAGAAATGATATTGCTTTAGGCATATACTACAAGCCACCCAACTGGGCAAAGAAAATAGATGAACATTTTGCTATTCAGTTAAGTAAGGTATGCAGGAAACATACCACTGTAATAATGGGGTACATTAGCTACCTGACATCACCTGGGAGATGCTTGGGAAACTCTGAAAAACGAAATTATTAAAGCCCAGTGAGAAAGAAAAAAAGGAATTTGGGTAAAAATAAGTAAGAAAACACTTTTCCACTTTAGATGAGTTGAAATTGCCAGGATCAGATGGTTTATATCCCAGAGTTCTGAAAAATCTGAAATTCTTCTGAATTTCACCTTAACCATATGTTCTCTAACTCTAACCCAAAGCTGCTTTTTCAGGAGGCAACTGGACTTTCTTGTTTTTCTTTGAAGACATTTCACTTTTCATCCAAGAAGCTTCTTCAGCTCTGACTGGATGGTGTGGAATGGAAGGGTTTATATTCCTTGCAGACAGCTGACCATTTCTTTTAGAGAGTCATTGAGGTCATTTGGAGGTTTATCCTCAGGATCACCTGAGTAGTGCAAATGTGTGTGGAGCTTTCTTGGCTGCAGGATGTTTTCTGCCCTGTGTCCCTTCACTGTTGAAGACAGGTGCAGGCTGTTGGGGATGAGTCTGTGTTGTCTGCATCTCAAACTGAAGTGCAAATGGTTCCTGTAGTCTGCAATGTTTTCTGAAACTCTGTTCATACTCCTGCACCATTCGAAGGATGTTCATCCCAAAGTGCATAGCTAAATGTATATGGAGATTCTTAGTATTCCAAGTCATGATTGTCCCAAAGATGCTTTTCAGGAGGTAACTGGACTTTCTTGTTTTTGTTTTTGTTTTTGTTTTTTGAAGAAGAAGAAAAAGCACGTTTGGGACAACCATGACCTGGATGACTGTGAATCTCCATAGACATTTTTTTATTCATCTTTCCTGTTTTGTTTCCCTTGTTATGCTTGTTTTCCTTGTTATGCTTTTAAGATGTTCTTTTTAGGAATTCCTACTGAATGTGAATTCTTTTTCCCATTAGCTTCTCCTGCAATGGAATCTTGTTTAACATTACTTGAAATTTTTTTATCTCAATGCTGTAAGCCACTCAGAGACATTTCATTACAAGACGGGCAGCAAATAAATTTAATAAGTAAGTAAACAAACAAACAAACAAACAAACAAACAAACAAATAACTCTTCTCAGGAAAGATCTCTCCCTCATGCCCTTCACCACCATGTGCATCAAAGAGAGCCTGCGCCTGCACCCTCCAGTCACAGCCATATCTCGACGCTGCACTGAAGATGTGAACCTTCCTGATGGACGAGTTATCCCTAAAGGTATCTGCTATGGAAGGACCCCCATGCCATCCTTTGCTAATTATCTGTATCTGGCATCTGGATTCTCTTCTTTACTCTATGATTTTATTCCCTGCCTGCATTAACAGATGTTCTAGGCTGCTATGCTATCATTCTTTGGGCTCCATGATAATTAAACCTGTTATGAACTAAACAAAGTGCAAAGTGAGGTAAATAAAGTGCAAAGTATATTGAATAAGAAAAAAATCCCAGTTTGGAAAGTTGGTCATATACTGTATTGAGTGTGTTCTCCCTTGTATTAGAGATCCTTTTACAGTATTTATTTGATGTAAACTGAATGAGACTGTTCTGCTTTCCCAAATTCTGCACTGGCCATTTCTAATCTAATAAATCTATACTTAACAAGCAATTATATCACCCCAAAATAATAAAAAAGAATTCTATTATTATGGGTTTTACAGCAATAGGTGTTATGTTCCACGTTTTGCTCAGGCTCGTATGTCTCATTCTTCTTGAAAATGTGTACGCTTGTTGTCCTTCCTTCCTGCTATTTTGTTTGTTGCTATTTGTAGGAGAAAACATTTGCTTGGTATATCATGTCACATCTGTGGGAGAAAAACATGGGTCTTCCTATGTCATCTAGTTTGAACTAGACACATTTATTGTTATTTTTGAACATGACTTTTCACTGCTCAGGAAACTTTATAGCTTTTTCTATGGTAAGTCCATCAGTAGGGATTCCAGAAGTCATTTCAGAACTACAACTTTCTTCTGCATCTAGCTATCAAAAAAGGCTGCCAGTTACAAAGCTGACTCTAAAAGCACTTTGACGTTTTTGCCACAAACTGTTTACAGTTTCACCTTAAATTGGGTTTGCATTGTGGCAAATTACTAGGGACTGTTTTTAAAGGCTTGTATGCTGCGATTGCTGGAACAGAAGACAGTGGGGCTGTTCCTGTGGTTCTCTGAGGCCATCTTGCTTGATTTGACTGGCTCAATGAAAGAAGCATTCTATCCATCCCAAGAGCAACTAGCGGGTGGGGGGGGGGTAATGAGATGACTGCACCATCAGGGCTGGGAAGTGGAGGAACAATGAATGGCAATCATGGAAGATTATGGAAATGATGATGAACAGAGATGGAAAAGCAGCACATGCTGGTCCTCTTTATGGGGCAACTCTAGGCTAGTAGCAGAGCCATAAACTGATTGATTGGTTGGTAGCTTGATTATGTGCCATCAAGTCATTAAAGAAAGATCTCAGCTCTTCTGAAAATCTGTTGCACTAACAAAGATATAAAACATGCTTAAACACAAGTCAACAGAATGCTGCCCTATTCTTTGCTCTATCTATTAACAACAGCAATTCATTTGCCAAGTTCTGGCATGTTCCTTTTCCCACTTCCTGCTTTTGTGAATCTTTCTACCTTTGGTGGCATCCAGAGTTCATTAGATTCTTCTCTCTCCAGGGAATGTCTGCCTGGTCAGTATCTTTGGGACCCATCACAATCCTGCTGTATGGCCAGAGCCTGAGGTAGCATTTTCCCCATTTCTTTGTAATTTGTTTCCATCCATTTTGTAGAGTTCAGCCTGGGAGACTCCCTTCCCTTTGCTGGATGCTATTTTAGAGTCAGGGGGCAACTTACTCTTGTCATGATAATTCAGTAGCTAAGTATAGTTTTTTCTAAAGTTATATTCTGCTTTTTGTTCATTGAGGTATAAAGAATCCAGCAAGAAGATATGTACATATATATCTCTGAGGGAGATGGGTAGTTCAAAAATGTAAAAAACAAACAAATAAATAAAGTAGAATTTGCGTATTCATTAAGAAAAATACACACCATTTAAAAGCATAGATTAAATCTTCAAATATTTGTCAAAAATCACCTCTTATATTGTGCAATTTTTCTGCAGAAAACCTGGGCTGCTATATTTATTATTATGAGTATAGTACAGCTGATGATTTCCCATCCATTACAGTATTCAATGGATCAGTCAAGAAATAAAAGCATGTACATACAACATACATCTTTTACACTAACCAGATAACAAAATACTGAGCATGACATTAATGCACAGTAATAACAAAATTTAGCTTCTTTCTCAAACTCAGCTGAATCCTGATTAGAAAATGGATATGTACATTCATATTTCTTGCCCACTATTTTTACTAAGAAATGGAGTCTCAGGAAAAGAAGCAGTGCAAAAATATAAATTTGCTGTCTCTATTTTGCCTGTTATATGACAAAATGTGAAACACAGTTTATGCTTTTTCCTCCAAAACAAAAAGTAAATTATTGAACTGCATCATCTCAAAAACTCTTTGTTCATTGTCATGTGCTTTGTGATTGTTTTATTGATGTTAATGTTTTTACATTTAATGCTAATTTTTTAATGAGGGAGGATGGAAAAATTGTAATGTTACCTACCTGCTGATTCTTCTCCCTTTGAGCTCTGTAACTGAGGCCACTTCATTGATAACATTTTATTTCTTAGTTTCAGACATCTTGTTTCTCAGGATCCAACTCATAAAATTCCCTTGGAGCTTGGGGAGGAGGTGATCTTTAGGACTTTGGGTCAATTTTGCATAGAAAGTTCTCTTTTGTCAGATATAAGATGATTACTGGCATATAAGGTTTCATTTGAGTGAGTCTTGTTCCCTCAAACCTATGAATTGTGCAGCAGGCACTGTTTTGCCCATAAGACCAAGCAGGAATCAATAAATGCATTTTTGCTACCTGACTGAAATTGCATGTCAAGCATTAGTTAGTCTTTAAATTGTGGCAGAGAGGTTCTATTTGCTTGGTGTGTAATACAGACTTATTCTACAGACAGATGTTTATCTGCCCATAAAAAGCTTCTGTAAGTTTCCTAGCACAGAATGTTTTCAGAATTAGAGCAAGAGAAGAATGATCTCTATAGTTCTATCATTTCCATAAACACCTCCAAGGAGTAGTCCTCAATGAAACTACATCTATATGGAGGGAAGCATATATAGGTTCTGTCTTGGATCCAGGGTCTTCAACATCTTCATAAATGATCTAGATGACGAGATAGAATTTGCAGACGGATCATTAAATTTGCAGATGACCCCAAGTTGGGGGGAATTGCTAACAGTTTGGAAGATTGACTCAGTATTGAGAAGGATCTTGAGAGACTTGAGCATTGGGTTCTGTCTTACAAGATGCAGTTGAGAAAATTAAGGTTCTGCACTTAGTCAGGAAAAACCAAATGCACAGATATAGAGAAGGCAGTACCTGGCTCAAAAGTAGTAACTGAGCAGGATCTAGGTGTCCTACCTAGTGGACCACCACTTACGTATGAGGCTGCACCTATCAAAAAACCTAATGCAGTCCTAGGCTGCATCAACAGAGGTATAGCATTAAGATCACAAGAAGTGAAAGTACCACTTTATATTGCATTAGTGAGGCCACACATGGAACACTGCATCCAATTCTGGTCACCATGATACAAAAAGATGCTGAGACCCTAGAAAGTATGCAGAGCAGAGCAACAAAAATGATAAGAGGTCTGGAGACTAAACTGTAGAATGAATGGTTAAGGGAGGGAGGGAGGTATGTCTAGCCTATCAAAGATTGGGGCTGAATGATAGTAGTCTTTCAGTACTTGAGGGACTGTCACAGAGAAAAGGGAGTTGACTTATTCTCAAAAGCACATGAAGGCAGGACAAGAAGCAATGGGTTGAAGCTGTTTAAAGAGAGAACCTAAAACTAAAGAGAAATTTCCTCACAGTGAAAATAATTAATAATTAATCAAAAATTAATCAACTTGCTTCCTAGAGTTGTGAGTGCTCCATCATTGGAGGTTTTCAAGACTGGACAACCATTTGTCCAGGATGGTATAACACCTCCAAGTTCCCTTCCAGCCCTATGATTCTATGATTTAAGTTTAAGAAAGTCCTGTGCTGGACTTCCTATTTGTGTCAGAACTTTTACTAGCTCCCATTCCCAGATCATCAGTTGGCAGAACTGATCTTCCAGGTCCTCACTGTCTGGTGAATACTCTTAGGAATGCCAACTCCTGTTCCTATGCTTGGATAAATGGCATGTGATAAACGAAACACTTGGCATTAATTAATCAGTTCCTTCTTATGTTCTCATCTTCTCATTCAACCCATTCATCTAATCTGTTTATCTTTCAAAGGTCTATAACCCATATCGCTTTGATTCAGCACATCATCCACTAGCTTTTGTGCCCTTTTCTGCAGGACCAAGGTAAACAAATATCCAGCTAGAGACAAAATAGTTGTTAAGAAAAAAAGAGAAGGATTTTGGAGGATACCCATGTGACATTCTTAATGGGGGCTTTGGGGGCAAGGAACATGAAACTATACATGCTGAAAGTTTCAGCACAGCAGCCAGTTTGGTCTCTAATGGGGAAAAAAACCCTTAATAAAGCTAGATTTATCCAATGAGCCATAGAAAAAGAGAAGCCACTGATCTGGAGTCTTTCTTCCCTGCAGGAACTGCATTGGGCAGAACTTTGCCATGGCAGAGATGAAGGTGGCCCTGGCACTGACATTATTGAGGTTTGTGGTGCAGTTGGATGAGAGCCGACCTGTACGGCGCAAGCCAGAGCTAATCCTGCGGGCAGAGAATGGGCTGTGGCTGCAAGTGGAACCAATCCGTGCTGAATCTTGATCAGAAGTTCTATATAGAATTTGCTGGTCTACAACCTGGCATCTATATTGTAATGCACCAAGAGGACTTGTGATCAGAGATGCTTTTTGCTTCTAGCTTTGTAGAAGGCAGGATAGATGTATTTTGCACACAATTTTCCACCATTGTTTATATGTCTCCTGGTCTACTAATTGCTGCTTAGCCCTAGTTTATTGCTTTGCTACCATGAAGATCTCCAAGAGGTATTCTAAATTAAAGCCATACGAAATGAACTTTTGGCTTGGTTTTAAATATTTAGGTGATGGGATGCCTATAGTATAGAATCAAACTTCCAGGTTTTCAAAAAAAGATTGGACAGTCATTTAGAATTGTCTGGGATGCAATATGGTCTCCTGCCTTGGGCAGGTCTAGAAGATTACCAAGGTCCCTTCCAGCCCTATGATTTTATGATTCTAAGCTATTCAATGACAACTGTCTGCAAAACTATAGCCCAAGAATTCCAGCGCAAAAACAAATGCATTCTGAATATTCCAAACATCATCTAGGTTGGCTTTCCATGCTGTGCTTTTATGTACTGCTATTAACATTCTATCCCTTCCAAGGGGTGTTTCTAATCCTTTCTAACAAAAGCTATTTCCATTCTGGAAAATCGTCTCCACTGTGAGGAAAGTAGAAGAAGGAAGGAGTATTAAGTATGCTCACCACCTTGAGTTATTGTAAAAATAATAAAGGTGGGATACAAATACTTAGACAAATAAACAAATATAAAGTTTCACTTAGGTGTGATGATTCAGTCTATTTTACTCTAGTTTAATTCATATTTTATTCATGCCTTGATAACCCATTTTTATTCATGTATTGTTTTATTTAGCACATAGAAATAACTGTTGCTTTTTCCTATTGGATGTGCCTTGACCGGAGGTTGACCTGCTCTTTAGACCATAGTAATAGATGAAAACCAGGCTTCCTGCCTTCTTCCCTTGGAATGCCTACTCACCACGGGGATTGATGAGATTAGGTACCAAGTTATTTAGAAATGCTTTTACTGTAGAAATGTTATTGATAAGATAAAGATCCTAGCACATCTTGTAATCTTTACTTGAACTAGGTTATTATGACTAGTGAAAATATATGCATGATGTTGCTTTTTATGATTAGTTTATAGCATTGTATGTTTCCATAATTGTCCCAAACGTGCTTTTTCCAAAAGGCAACTGGACTTTCTTGGTTTTTTTCCTTTGAAAACATTTTGCTTCTCATCCAAGAAGCTTCTTTAGTTCTAACTGACTGGTGAGGAATGGAAGGATTTATATTCTTTGTAGCCATCTGAGGGTTGGTCGTTAGCTCTCTGAGAGTCATTGAGGCCACTTGAGAGTTTATCTGTAACATCAGAGTCACCTGAATCAGAATGTAAAGGGGTGTGGAACCTTTTGGGGACTACCGAAAGAATTGTGTTATAAACAGGAGAAAAGTAGTATCATATTCTTCCCCCTCCATTGAGGGAAGGCTATTCAATTTTAACACAGATGGCCTCTTTGACACCTCTTTCAAACCTGTGATCCATTCTGTCCAGAATGGAACTTTGGTGTCTTCAAAAGAGTGGCCTTTGTCTTTCAGGGGCAGATGCACTGCTGAATCCTGTCCTGATTAATCTGTTCTCCTGTGTTGTCCATGTGTTTGTGAAATGGTTGTTTTGTTTCCCCAATGTACAAGTCTGCACGTCTCACTGCATTGCACTGCATATACTACATTGTTCTGTTTGCGTCTCGGTATTTTGTGTTTGGGGTGGACAACCTTCTGTCGTAATGTATTCCTGGGTTTAAAGTGTGCATGTATGCTGTGTTGGTTGAAAATCTTCCTGAACTTTTCTGATATTCCTGCAACGTATGATATGACAATATTGCTCTATTTGTCTTTGTCTATTATGAAGAAGCTCCTGCTGGATCTCTTTGTGGATTTGATGAATGGCTAGTTAGGATAGCCATCAGTTCTGAGGGCTTCCTTGATGTGTTTTTGTTGTTTTCCCTCTTTGCTGGTAGGCAAAGGTGTAGGGTTTCAATTACTGAGTCTCCGAGAGCTAATGACCAATTCTCAGAATGCTTTCGACCAGATGGATGCAAAGAATATAAATCCTTCCATTTCCCATCAGTCAGAACTGGAGAAGCTTCTTGGAAAAGAAGTGAAATGATTTCAAAGGAATAAACAAATTTCAGTTGCCTTTTGGAAAAAGCACCTTTGGAATAACCATGACCTGGATGATTGAGAATCTCCATAGATATGCTTCCATGACTGATTGACTGCCATGTATCTTTTTAAAATTGTATAAAAGGAAGTCCACTCTAAGCAGGAGTCTGCTTATGTTAGAACTTGCTTCTGGGCAACCTTTTATTTGCAAATAAAAGTTTCAATCCTTTCTACTATTCTGGTGTGATTTTTGGGCTTACACATTAGATAAAAAGTCTCCATTTTTCTGGAACAACAGGAGCACAAATTGCTCAAATGTTTTTAAAAATTCCAAATGCCAAACAAAGCAGTTTGTGGTTGGAGAACAAGCCATCCATTAGGTGCATGTTTGTGGCCTCTGATTGTCTGAGTTGCATGTTGGTTAATGGTAATGAAGATAATGGATCACTTGAAACCAGTTTGGTATAGTGGTTAAGGCATCAGGCTTGGACACAAAGCCATCTGGGTGACTTTCTCTCAGTTCTAAGGAGATAATGACAAGCCACTTCTGAAATCTTGCTAAGAAAACTGCAGAGACTTCTGAAGACAGTTGCCAGACATCAACATTGATTCAAAGGAAGGGGGGGAGAGATATGCATAACATTCAGTTTCTCTAATTGAGAAGTAGATTATTGATCCTTTGATATAAAAACAAAATGTTTCTATTTTTGTCTGTGAAGGGCTTGCTCCATTCATTATAACTGAACCTCACAAATCTCTTTTTCCAATAGTAGTCCTCTTCTCTTCTCTTCTCTTCTCTTCTCTTCTCTTCTCTTCTCTTCTCTTCTCTCTCTTCCCCCTGAGGGAGGTAAAAGCCAAGGAAAAGGGCAATAGATGATATTCACTCAAAGTTACAGCTCTTAGGAAGTCTAGAAGGAGAAATGCTCAAACTGCAATCTGTAGAAATTAATCTTTAGATTCAGCCCCATTCGGATAGATTATGACTGGGCTCTCAAGTTCATCTTTTTGTGACATGTCTATTTTCCCATCTCTATACAGGAGCCTCAACCATGTCTAACGCTCTGGAATATTCATGATATCACAAATTTATTGGAGTGTCCATTATCTGTATTGGCTAGGTTGTGATCATAATTCTGAAAGTTCAAAGCTACCAGAGCCCTTGGAAGTTGTCACATTCAAACCAAGCTGATGTAGCCTGCTTCCTTAGCAGTGTTCCCTGGTTGGCTGGCTGATTGGGGCCTTGCCCCTAGAATTGAGACAGGCGGACAAAAATCAGAGTACTGGGGGACTGATTCAAGCGCAGAAGAAAGGAACGAGGGAGCGAAAACCATGACACTGCTACGAGGAAAGGAGGCTGGACTCCTTCTGAAAGAGAGAGAGAGATTGCCCCTCCCCCCAAGGAACAGGATGGTTATATCTCACCCTGGAGATTGCATCCTAGCTGCCATGAGAGGTAGACTTGATAGGCCTCTAATTGGGCCAGCAGAGGATATGTTTATTGACAATAGATTGGTGAAGGGCCATTTGGCCAAAAAGGACAGTCTTTGGGATATTTTTAGCTTGAGCGACACTGCTCACCATAAGATTTAATAACCTTGGAGGTCTTCTAGTCCAACCTCCTCCTCAAGTAAGAGACCCTATATCCGTGGTGGCAAACCTATGGCACGGATGCCAGAGGTGGCATGCAGAGCTCTCTCTATGGGCACGCACGCCATTGCCCCAGTCCTAGGCCTTCAGCTGGGTTTTATAAAACCTTTTCACTTTAGACCTCTGCCGCCATATGCAAAAGAAAAGTTTCAATCAATCAATTTCAACTTGATTGAAAAAAGATCTTGCAAAGTTGAAATTGATTGATTGAACTTTTTAGTCCCAGTCTGCCGTTACCACTGCAGCCACACCCACCCAATGGGCCACACCCACCCAATGGGCCACACCCACCCAATTGGCCACGCCCACCTGGCACCCGAGGATACATAAGTGGGTTTCGGGTTGCAGTTTGGGCACTCGGTCTCTAAAAGTTTCACCATCACTGCCCTATATCATTCCAGACAAGTGGCTGTCTAGTCTCTTCTTAAAAACCTCCAGTGATGGAGCATCCACAATTGAAATTTCTCTGTAGTTCTAGATTGCTTCTCCCCTTAATTAGTTTCTATCCAATGTTTCGTGTCTTGCCTTCCTGTCTTTGGAAAATAGGTTGATGCTCTCTTCTTTGTGGCAGCCCCTCAATATTGGAACACTGCTATGATGTCATCCCTAGTCCTTCTTTTCACTAGACTAGGCATACCCAATTCCTGCAACTGTTCTTCATGTGTTTTAGCTTGCAAGCCCATAGCCACCTTTGTGCTCTTCTGTTTACTCTTTCCAGAGTCTCAACCTCTTTTTTATAATATGGTGAGCAAACTTGAATGCAATATTCTAAGTGTGGTCTTAGAGGGGAGAGGGGGATCTATTTGAATAAATAATAAGTGTATTTTACATATGATAACTATTCTGTACCACAACCATGGGTTATCCGAAATCTAAATACTATGGACATTAAGCCAACTGGAATACTGTAATTGAAATCAGATAAAAGTTAAAAACAGAATTTGAAGGCATATAAATCAAAAGTTGTCGATAAATGCTTCAAATGATTGAGTTATAATTAGCAATGTATTATTTGAAATCTGGTATAATAACTAAGGGAAACAGAGAGGAAATTTTTGATAACGTAAACTGATATATGTATGGAAAAGACTGTTATTGGACTATGTATTATCCAACCACCAAGTTGCTTCCCTAATACCTAAAGCTTTGTAAAAATGGAAAATTAATAAAACTTGTTCAAAATAAATAAATAAATAAATTGCCGGAATCTTGGGTGAAAGTGACCACGTCATACTGGAATTTAATATAATGCAAACATTAGCAATAGAAAACAATCCAACCAGCAAGAAAACTTCAAAAAAGCTGACTTTAACAAACTTAGAGAGAACCTAGGAAAAATCCCATGGATGAAAATTCTAAAGGGAAAAACAACCCAGGAAACATGGGAAACCCTGAAAAATACAATCACAAAAGCCCAGACCAGCGCAATACCACTGAGAAAGAAAAACAAGAAATCCAAGAAGACACCAGCATGGTTGCACAAAGATCTCTCTAACAAACTAAAAGAGAAAAGGACAAGTACAAAAAATGGAAAGAGGGGCACATAACTAAAGCTGATTATCAGCAGATAGCCAGAACGTGCAAAGATGAAGTCAGGAAAGCAAAGGCTCAGAATGAACAAAGACTTGCAACAGAAATCAAGGACAATAAAAAAGTTTCTTCCAACATATTAACAACAAGAAAAAAAATCAAGGAAACTGTAGGCCCACTACAGAGAGAAGATGGCAAGGAAATTACAGGCAATAGGGAGAAAGCAGAGCTACTTAACTCATACTTTGCATTAGTCTTCATATACACACAAAAAACCTATAGCCCAACACACCCAAAAAACCACTGCAAAAGACATACTAGAACCAAAAATTAAAATAAGCAAGAAAATGGTAAGGGAACACCTATCCAACCTTGACAAATATCACTTGACTATAAGCCAGCAGTGTGCAGCAGCAACCAAAAAACCTAATACAATCCTGGGTTGTATAAACAGAGACATAGAATCAAGATCATGCAAGGTATTAGTACTGCTTTATAAAATCCTAGTAAGACCACACCTGGAATACTGCAGCCAATTTTGGTCACCATATCACAAAAAAGATGTTGAGAGTTTGGAAAAAAATCCAAGAGAAGAGCAACTAAGATGATCAAAGGCCTGTAGATTAAAACATATGAAGAATGGCTACGGGACTTGGGTTTGGCTAGTCTAAAGAAAAGAAGAAATAAGGGAGACATGATAGCAGTGTTCCAATATCTGAGGGGTTGCCACAAGGCAGAGGCGGCCAGGTTGTTCACCAAAGTACCAGAGGGGAGGATGAGAAACAATGGCTGGAAACTGATCAAAGAGAGAAGCAACCTGGAATTAAGGAGAAATTTCCTGACAGT